GAAAGTGAAAGCAGGCAGGCCAGATAGATGCTCTTATAAAAAGGAAACTCTTCAATTGGGTGGTGTGGCAATTATGTCAGAAAGAAGAAACGCAAGTTTATGTTTATGTTTGAGTACATCTTTATGGATGAGTAGAAATTTGATAGATGGATTTGGGCAAGGGAGTGAGGAAGGCATTTTAAGCACTGGTGAGAACCTATACAAAGGCTCAGAGGCAAAAGTGCATGGTGTATCTGAAGAACTGAGAAGCGCTTAGTATTGCTGAAAAAGGATGTCTGGGGGAGAGCTGTAGGAGATAAGGTTACAGAAGCCGCTGTCATGTCAGACACTGAAGGCTCTGTGAATCACGCTAAGCAGTGTGCACTTCATCTCATAAGCAGGGTTGTGAACAGGGGAGTCAACTTTGTGTTTCAGAAAGATTGGTATGGCAGTCACATGAGAGGCTGACAAAGGCACTCCCTTTTGAAGTAACTGTCATATAACCCAGTTCTAATGTGGCTGGAATTGCACACACACAAACCTATATATATGCAGCTTACATGTCATATTTGCATAAGTTCTTAAGCCTTTTCCTGTATTAAGAAATTAAAAACAAGTCTAAATTATTAAAAAACAAACTGAAACAAATGAATCTAAATGTTTATAAATTTGATATAACCACACAGAAAATTATTCAAGTGATTTTAAAATACCATATTATTACAAATCCCTAGTTAAATATATCCTAAGGACAAAAAGAACCATAAAGGAATGTTAGACTGCATTTGTGGTCCCATGGTTAGTGGCAGTGTTGCCACTATTATTTTGAAACTATACATACATATCTATTGGGAGACAGCAATGTAACCTTAATGCCATTAAGTACTAAGATTTTCAGTACCAACGAAAGGAGACATAAACATAAAAGGAAAGAAGCAAAAACCCTGATGGGGAGGAAAAAGCTAGCAGACTTGCAATATTCTTTCTTTTTACTGGCCCAAGAAAGAGAGAGTGATGTTCTGATCAAATCACCTTAGAAAAAAGCTAATGAGAGAGCTGATAAACACACTAAAGGCATTTACTACTAGAAGAGTCTTTAGTTGTGGAATGCAGGACAAACTTGTTCTGTCTAGATTGCTCATTACACATAAACATGGGATGTATGTAGGCAGGACTCTCTAGGAAATATCACATAAACTATGCAATTATCAGGGAATAAACTGGAAATGTCTCATAATGGCAATAGCTCCCTTTTGTGGAAGTGACGTTCCATATGCATCACTTAGAGGCCTTATATGTTAAAATCTGGGCCAGAACACATCCTAACTGAGGCAAGAAGGGACCTAGGAGCAGCTCTTGTAGTCTCAGACTTCTTTGCACTTTGCCCGTGTCTTGTGATAACTGTATCTTTGAAAATATCTACCAAGTTAGACACTGGGTAAAATCTCCAATTCTTGTAAGTCCAATTTGTCAATCCAACCCTTTTGTTTATCGCACCTGTAATATTTAATTTGAATTGGAAGTATCAGTATGAACGATACATTTCTTAACCCAATCCACCATAAAGGCCTACAAGCAATGATAACTCAGTAGTAATGCATACCCCTGGTGCCTAGATTGTAGTATCTAACCTACTAAAAGGAACCAGGTTCCTTGAAGAAACAGCTGACATTCATTTCTGGGTCAGGAAATGTATAAGATGAATTTGGGACATCTTGTTCTTCCTGAAAGGAAAAAAAGTTACATAAGATCACCAGGATCTAGCCAAAACAAAGAAATGGAATTCCCAATGGCTAAAAATGCAATGATTTGAGAAACAACAAAAAAATGGCTGCAATAGAGTGAAAAATAAAAATCCATGGAATTATAATGCTGCCTGTGATAATGTGAAATATATATTTGGTCTTTGTCCTGACAATATAGCTCCTAAAATCCTTGGAATCTCCAGAGAGATAAGAATTTCTTTTGTATGCTAATGAGGTGGGTGGTAGATGGGGGCTCCTAGATAGCCTTGGGATGAGGGCTGGATGCCAAGGGAACCAACCATGTGATCAGAGGGTTGGAACTTTCAGTCCCACCGCTCAACCTCCTGAGGGGACAGGGTCTGAAAGTTAAGCTGATAAATCAATGGCTAATGATTTAATCAATCATGTCTATATAATGAAGCTTCCATAAAATCCCAAAAGAACTGAGTTCTAGCAGTTTCTGGACAGCTGAACTCATGGAGTTTCTGGTAGGTGGCATACCCAGAGAGAGCATGGAAGCTCCACAACGATTCCTACATACCTTGCCCTAGGCATCTCTTCCATCTGGCTATTCATTTGTACCCTTTCTAATAAATGTGTAAATGTAAATAAGTGTCTTCCTGAGTTCTAAATTCTAGCAAATTACTCAGACCCAAGGAAGGGGTCTTGGGAACCCCAATTTATAGCCTGTCAGTCAGAAGTAGAGGCAAAACAATCTGGGGATTGCAACTGGCATCTGAAGTGGAGGATGGTCTTGTGGGACTGAGCCTTCAACATGTGGAATCTGATACTATCTCCAGATAGACAGCATCAGAATTGGAATTGAGTTGAATTAGAGGACAACCAGATGGTGTCTGCTGGAGAATTTGCCACAGAATTGATTGCTTGCTTGATATGTGGGGAAATAGTCCCACATAACTGGTGTCAGAAGTGTTTACTGAATGAGTGAAAGTAGGAAAAACATTTTGATCTGGGGATTTCTATATCTTTACAATGCTCAAAAGCAAAGCAAAGCAAAACAAATACAAACAATCAAAAATATATTCATTGGTCTTTGGAGGTTGCTAGGGCATCGAATTCTTCTCTGAGAACATTTCAAGGGAAAGAATCAAGAATTTATCCTGCCTTCCGTGTACAGACCATATTTCAGGGTAATCAAATACTTGATGAGGGAAAGTTCTTTATAAAAGAATCCCAGTAACCAATGCAGGAGGAATAGTAGAATTACAAAGGCACCATTTTGCAACTTCTAATGAAATAAAGGATCCAGACAACAAACATAAGTGGTTGCTGAAACCACTAGGCAAAAGATCAAAGAGAATGGCTGGATCAGGTTTCCGCCATCTGATCTCAATGATCAATCTCAACATGACTAAAAGTGGGACAATCTGATACTACATGCCTTGCACTGCAATGTAATAGAAAGTACACAACACCAGCTATGAAATATTCTCAATAAAAAGACTGAATCAAATCTACCCAAGCCTCTAGAGCTAACTCCCAGTTTACAGAAGATAGGAGAACAAGCTAAATGACATCACAAGGATGTGACCAGCTAGATCCAAAATGTGGGAAACAGTACAGCACAAAGGACATTATTTCTTTAACCAATAAAATGACACTTTAGAACAAGCGAGTGAGAACTGTTAAAGAGTAAGAGAAACCTAAGATCTTAGCTTGATTCAAACAAGCCAATTATAAAAAGGCACCTGAAACAATTGGGAAAACTGAACAAAGTCTGGATATTAGGTGATGAAGAAATAATAGCTAATTTTGTGATTTTGTTTAAAAAAAATTCTTACTTTTAGAAACACATAGATAAAAGAACATGTAGAATTTGCTTAAAAATACTCTAGGAAAGAAAAAAAGGGCAAATGTGTGTGGGATGGTAAAGAGGAAACAAGAATAGCAGAACGCTGCTGCCTTCTGAGGCTGAGTGACGGAGGGCACGAGGGGGTCACCACACCCTCTACTCCTGTGCATGTTTAAAAATCTCCCTAATAAAAAAATAAAGGAATGAATTAAACTATATTTGGCAAAAATGTTAAAATACTATGCTGAGGTACAGGAAAAGAGGTAGTTTCAAAGGAAGTAAACAGAATTACTTTTCTGAAGAACAATTTAACAATATATATCAAATGTCTTAAATTTTTACATTCAACAAATTTACTTTTAAGAATTCTAAGGAAATTTTCATGTCTGTGCACAAAGATACATCTAAAATGATCTCTCAGCAAAACATAAGCAACCTACGTTTAAGTTATGGTATATTTACATATAAATATTTTTCATAGCCATTAACCATCAAATTGTAAAAGAAATAAACATGGGAAAATGTTCACGCTAACCTGTTAAATGCAAAATGCAGGCTGTAAAATACTATAAAGTTTGACTCAATTTAGTTTTCTTAAAACTATTCGTACACGTAGAAAAAAGCCTATAAGAGTCTCCATGATGTTAATAGCTGTTATTTCTAGTTGACGGGATTAAGGTACTTCAAATTTTTCTGAAATGGTTTTTCTATTCATGAGTATCACAGTAAAACAATTTTATTTTTTCAAGTTCAAATCCTGAGAGCTGTTAATAATGGAATAATAAGTGGGTAAGGTGGTAATCTTTGAAATAATAAACTAAATGGCAGAAGGGTGGTGGGACAAGGCAGAGTGGACACGTTAATAATTAATTTTTAAGAGAATAGGTACTTAGCACACTATTGTGAGAAAGACCAAATTTTAAATTTAAAAGGAGAGGTGTCAAGGTGAAAGTCAGAAGAGGATTAAAGTTTATGTAAGTTTCAATTCGAGAGGGATAAATACCTAAATCAAATTACTTAGGATGATTGAAAAGGTTATTGTAGTAAAAATCTTAACACAATTCTGAAAATAACCAAAGTAGCATGTTAGACAATTCTTCTTGAGTTTGTATTTTTGTATCTCCCTGACAGATTATTTTAAAAAATTTCTTAGAAATTTATTTACATATCGGAGTCCAAAAAGAAATGTTAGGATATTAATATAATACAAATGCAATTTCATTTACTGAATTCAGGTCATATAACCTGGGTCAAATGTGTTAAGAGAATAAACTTCGATATACTAAAATCTAGAAAATCCAGTAAAACTATACTCTATACACTATATGTGGTTAATAATCAGTAAAACCAGCCTTCTTCAATATCTTCTTCACTCACTAGCTTTAAATTTCAGTTATCTCCTTCCTATATCAGGCAAAAGCCAAAAACAAACAAACAAACAAACAAAAAAACGTCCAGACTACCTGGTTTCCGTGCTTTCTTTGGTTCTTCATAGTCCTTGTTTTCTGGATTTGGAGATTCTAGAAAGCTGATTTCTTCTGTGACACTTTCGCCCTCCTGGTTTGTGAGGCTGTCTTCCTCTTCTTGAGTAGGGGATTCCAATTCTGACTCCTCCGAATCAAGAAATATCTGACCTGCAACTACTCTGCCTGCAGTGGTGTGGTCCTTTACTGACTCATCTGATGGCAAAGAAGTCTGAGAATATAAAGTATTTTTAGTTATCAACAGTATCAAGACTCTCCCCAACCCACTTTGACTATTACTTTTAGTAATCCAGGTATCATGTCTCCCTCAGCTCCCTGAAGTGCCACACTTCCTCATCTCTGTGGGCTTTGGCATGTGTTCATCACCTGCCTAACTCTTCCTCTTCCTCTGAATTTCATCTTAGATGTTACTTCCCGAAGTGTAGGTCAGGTTCTCCCTCTACAACCTTCCTCTATGATAGCCCTGTATCATTACTTCTTGTTTTTATCTATATTCCCTCTAACCTAGAGATCAGAGCTCCTACCTAATTTGGTCTCCTTGGATATGTAAGAATCAGTCTTATTCATTCAATCAACCAATAAGTCCATTAACCCAGACTGTCTTTTTTGAAAATTGATATTAGTGAAAATAAATGGCAGAGGTTAAGTCTTCAAAATTAAAAGAAACTGCAAACAAAAAATAGGAATAAAATCAATATCTCATCAGGCAGTAAAAATGCTGCTGCTTTAAGACTCTTACACCCCCCCACCCCTCACAGAGTACATTCAAGTTGAAATTAAACCTACTAGCCAACACTCTTAATGGAAATACTTTCTCTTTTGTAGGTAACTGACTCCCCCCTCCCCCCTGAAGAACTAGAACTAATATTAATAACACCTAACTTTTTCTTTTCTTTTTAATTCAATTCTGTCACTCAAAAGATGCATATTTCACATCCTTTCTAAGGTACACAACTCATGCTTTTAAACTGAGCAGCAACTATTGGCCAATGCAAATTTTAGTACACACCTTGGAATCTAAGGATTCATCTTGGCTGCCTTCTTCATCTGTAAATAAATTTTAAGACAATTTAATCATCTTTCTTGCTGGGAAATCACAGGTATTATTAAAAGAAAGCATCTGGTAAGTTTAGCAAATAATCAAACACGGGTAAACAAATCTAGAATTATTTAACAATTAGTTGTATTCAGCAACTGTTCAGAAAAGACTAAATGAAAGAAAAAAATGGATTGTGGGGAATAGTTTTTCTTTCTCTAGGGAAGACATTAGCTTCATCTGTTATACAAGTGAGAAGACCAACAGGCCCCAATACCAAACACAAACACTTCTTCAGATTCCACCCAATACTTCTATATATATTTAGTCTATTAATGAGAATGAATTACTAAGTTCATACAAATAAATCTTTAATTTCATATTCCAGGCTTCTACCTATTGTTTCTCTGCTCAGGATCTGGGGTTATAATAGTTTATTTTAGTGCTAATTAGCATTCTACTGTTCAGTAATACTAGTAAGTATTATTATTTGACAGAAGAGTTGCCAAATATATTTAGGATTTGTGTTCTACTTTTCTGAAGAGATAACCAGATATAAGTAAAAAGTAACATCATACTATAATTTAGTATTCAATGACATGATAGCTATTTATTAAGAAATCAATAGCTTATATTAAATAAATCATGAATCCAGACACTAGTTACACCTTTCTTCCAAATTCACACAGTCTGCTCTGGTTTTGTCTGATTCCATTAGTTTTCCTTCTATTATTCTTTCCATGTTCACTGGCTATTACTTCTATTCTGGCTGCTTGTTATTCTTTTCCCTGTTCTTATGTAAACACATGCAACAACCCAATATCCAGGTGCAAATGTTTAATCTTTGTATTACTTGCCAGTTTAAAAAAAACAAAACTGTCAGATGATCTCTAAGTTTCCTTCTTGCTCATAAAATTACCTCATTTTATCCAGGAGGGAGTTTCAGTATGGCCTGCTCCATAAGCTCTATGAGAAATTAATCAGTAGACAAAATGCTGTAAGACTATGTGATTTTTACTAGAAAATTTGGTATTATAGTTGCCATTTATCTTTACTTCATATGGTTATTTCCTAAATATTATTCATAACTTATAACTCTCTAAAACATAACAGAAACATGTTTGAAGTTTGTTATCAAAGTTCTGAGCTAGTTTAAGAAGTATAACCAATTCATTATTCACAAAATACACAAATCTATTTCACAATATTTATTTTTGAAATTTGAGAAAACCAGTCTACTATTGAGGTTTTGCCATATATGAAAGTGCTGTCAATTAAAAGAAAATCTAAACTATAGCTACTGTTCATATTCACTTACTTTTAGATTACCTTCAAAATATGTTTTATTTTTGGCAGGTGGAGAAAAGAGTATGACATGTAGTCCCATAGTGCTCATAACATTTAGGCAGTAGTGTCAATTAATTGATAATCAACCTTCACACTAACTTCTTCACAAGTATTACCCAAAGCCCAAATTTTAACAGATGGTTCAAATTCCATTCTCAGCAAGGATAGAAGAAAAAATTTATCTCTATTATATATCAAAGCTATATGTATAGATGTAGTTAATTAACCACAAATATCAACTATGTAATATATCAATAGCAGACATTAAATGTGCAAATGTACATGATATATCCCCACATACTGAACTTCTAGTTACAACTGTAAAGCACTAATCACTAAATTTAGTACCTCGTCATAACAGGTCACATAGGTAGCAAACAGGTAAATAATATAGCTAGCTATAAATAATTTAAAGATATGTACGTTTGAGACACTACAAGCTGTTAGGCATTAGAGTAGCAATAAGTGTTTTTGAATACCAAGAGACATGACTTGTGACATCAGGGTTATTTCATGTGAATTGCATCATACTTCTCTCTCTTTCCCTCTCTCTTTACAAACTAGGAATATATACTAAGATTACAGGTAAATAGAATTCTTTCTCAGTTACTAAACTGGGAAAGCCTCTTCCAGATGGTAGCCTGAAAACATAATTATTGTCTCTTTCAAACTGATGTACATATCCACATAACATTTCTTAAAAAGTTGCTTATAACCTAAGAACTTCTGATATGTAGTATTCAGGTAAGGATTGAAGATACTGAAGTTATGCATAAATAAAAAGCAAACAGTAATGCTTTAATAAGAACACAGACATCAAGCAACAAGAAAAAACAAAAGGATTCAATGCAAAGTCATGGATTTCTCACTCATTAGTATCACATTCAAAATACAGTTCACTGTAACTTTACACCTTCCTTTGAAAAAGATTAATTTTCATTTTTATTTTATTAGCTAACAAAGCTCCAACGTACCAGGGATATTCTTTCAGGAAATGCAAAGTCATGGATTTCTCACTCATTAGTATCACATTCAAAATACAGTTCACTGTAACTGTACACCTTCCTTTGAAAAAGATTAATTTTCATTTTTATTTTATTAGCTAACAAAGCTCCAACGTACCAGGGATATTCTTTCAGGGAAAAGTGATCATTACAAATTCATTTTCCCATCTGTCATGTAAATTAAAAGACTGATACACCAAATACAGAAAGTCTAAAGAGTTTGATGAAAAAAGACCAGATATCCTGTCTTCTGCTTTGCCACTGAATCTGTGCAGATCCTAGGATATCCTTGATTCTAAAAATTACCCCAAATCTGAGGCATGGCTAGCTAAGTTCGAGACCAGGTTTCATCACATATTAATACTGACACACATGGTTCAGTATCGAAAGCTTGCTCAATCTCCATTTTCTCAATCTGTCAAAAGGGGATAATACCATCTGTCCTGCTGACCTACAATAATGTTTTTAGGAACAATTAAAATAGTGAAATTAAACATTCTCTGCAATCTGAAAACGACTCTCTGAATTTACAGTACTGTTATAAATATTACCTGAAATACCCGGCAGGGGACCTAATTAAAAAGACTAATACTGTTTGGCACAAAGGAAAAAAGGGTATAAACCACCTACTTTTTCCTGCCCAAAATAAGAAAACATGCATTTCTAAATGAGAAAAATGATAGCCTTTTCACTATCATCTTGAGAAAATGAAAAATATCTTTTTAATCTTCTTTTTAAAATTTACTTATTCACAAGGAAAATGAGACTTTTCTAATATATTTACATGCTTCTAAACAAGACATTAGATAATAGCTACTAACAATGATAGGATCAAGATCCTCTTTGTTGGCTGATCATACTCTACCTGGTAATAAATGCAACTTGCTTTGGGTAACCACTTTTTTTTTGTCAAATACAAAATTACCATCAGAAACTTGATTTTTATATAGAAGCGAAACTTTAAACCTAAGCTTTTGAAATGAAGCTGAAATCCCATATAAATAAGCACTTTAATGAATGAAAAAGCCAACTGAAAAATCCATGTACTTAATTTATAAAACTTTATCTCGGGCCGGCCCGGTGGCGCACTGGATAGTGCGCTGCTTGGGAAGCG